AGTGTGGACCAGCTGAACAGCAGCCAAAGTTTTTTTCTGCCCTTTTCAGTTATTCATATCACTCCCACCATAACAGCCCTGAGGAGCTGCATTTTTTGTCTGTGTAAACCCAGAAGACAGTGTGTCTATTGACCCTCTTGCTGTTTCTGGAATGTGTCTTAGAAAATTGTTCTCAGCAAAATATCCTCATTCTTTTCTGCATTGGAGACTGAAATGGCAGGGAGTACTTGGCTTTTAAAAATTTCTCCTATGCTTTATCACCAGTTGCATTTCACATCAAACAGGATTTTGAGGGGAGGTGGTGTATGTAACGGATATGTATGTAAGGATTTTTTTTTTAGCTCCTTAAGAGGCAGAATGTAATGTGCAGCAGCTTGATAATGTTTTTCTCACACCTTCAGGGTCAGTGCCCATCGTAAAGATGTCCATATTCCCTTTCCCTGTTCACTTTTCCTGGTCAAAGGCATAAAGTACTAGGATTGATTTCATTCAGGCCATCATATAAAGCTTTACTAGTACTGCATGTTTGCAATGACTATGGGGAAGTTCCCTTGTCTGGAATTCTTTGGTCTTGTTCTGCTCTGCAGTAATCACTGAAGTTGTATCATATTGCTAAACTGCAGGAGGTTTCAAGCAGGTGCTGAGAAGGTTCAGACTAAATATCTCTAACACAAGTTGCTTCAGAGTACAAGAGTTGCAGGGTTACCTTGCTTTGGTTTTCTTATTTTAAAGGGAAATAAATCCTTCTCTAAGTACTTCAGTCATGAAATATAGGAACTGCAATGATAGGACAAGGGGTAATGGGTTCAGACTGAAGGAGGGAAAGTCTAGGTTGGATGTGAGAAAAATGTTTTTTACTCTGAGGGTGGTGAGACACTGGCACAGGATGCCCAGGGACGTGGTGGCTGCTGTGACTCTGATGGTGTTCAAGGCCAGGCTGGATGAGACCTTGAGCAACCTGATCTAGTGAGGAGGTGTCCTTGCCAGGGCAGGGGGTTGGGACTAGATGATCTGTAAGGTCCATTCCAACTCTTAAATGATTCTATGATATTTTAGAGCATCAGTGTCACACCCTGGCATCTGCCTCTCTGGTATCTCTGGGCTCCTGGTAGAGTCATTTAAACATCTGAAACTAACTTGTGATGCTGTTTGAAAGTCTGGTTTTTGCAGCTCGGTGGTTAAGTAGAAAATCTGCAGGAAATGTGGTTAATATAATCTTGAGACAGTAATGTGTGTGCTCTTCTTGCTGCCTTAAGAGAGAGGTGCTGTAGTGCCTGTTGCCAGCTCGTATGGCTATGGATTTTAGTATTGTTTTTCATGCAAGGCGAGTGCTGTTGAGACCTGATTTTAAAAACCCTAGAATTTAGAGTACTGAAGACAGCCACAGTTCAAGCAGTTTTTAAAAATCAACACTTTGGAAGTTGCTACTGCTCTGCAGTTAGCTGCTGCTCTGCATTCCCCCCTGTCAACCAGCAAGGCTGTCTAAAGGAAGCTTGGTTTTGATGATGTTTAATGGGAGTTCTGTATAGGTTCTGTGTGAGAAGGTCACATGTAATAAGCCTTACTTGCTGCTTGTGAGCTTTTACCTAGTTCAGTCTGAGAGCTGCACTTCCTTTACACAGAATTATAGAAAACACTCCTGGTGTGACTGTGTTGAAATCTGATTCTCATGGCAGTGGGAGCCTGAAGTTCACCTGTGTGCTCCCTGCAAGGTTTGTGGTGCTGAAGGTACCAGGCTCTCAGTCATTTTTGGAAGGGATTTTCTTGATGAGACCAGCAATGACACATGTAACCTTTTGGGTTTGTTGCTGCCATATGAGTTCAGGGAAGAGCTGCCTTAACAAAAACAGACTTTGGAAAGGAAACAATAGTGTATGCACTGTGCATGTTTATTTGGGGATGAAAGGATATTACAAGGCTATGTTTGGGGTGGGGGGTATAAAATCTCTCTAGCTTTTGCAGTGTTAGGCATTTGAAGGAAAATTGCTGCCGTTCTCCCTACGAATCCCTTGAGTGTACATACCTTTTTTGCTTTTTCATGATGCTGAAAGGTGACCTCATTTTTCTTCCTTTGAAGAGGGGAGGGGATTTTTTTGTTGCATTCCAAGTACCTGGCCTTGACATCTCTTGAAACTGAGCAATCTGGCAGTCTGTAGAAGATCTGGATTGTGGTTTCACATGTAGAGCTGGAAATGTGAGCTCTTGCTCAGTCATCCCTGCCCAGTCAGAGGAGGGAGTGTGTTGACTGAAAGCTGCATGACAGTATCATTCTTTAATATCTGAAATCATGGTCTGGTTTTTCAGAGCTCAATTTTTCCTTGTGGAAGCACTGTTCAGGGCAAATATTTTAACATTAAGAAACACCAAAAAAACCTCCTCTGAAGCTGTTTGCATGCACAAGTGAGCAGTAAAGAAGTCAAAACTTTATTCTCTATAAAGCTCAGCTATAAATTGCTCCTGAAATAGCTTCTGTGACTCTCTGCAGCTCCAGGCTACTGCATCCATTACTTTGAATGTGAAGCTTAACATCACTGACTCTTTTTTATCATTCTGTGCTTCAGCAGAGGGCAGGAACCTTGCTGTAAAGTCTACTTCTGTTAATACTAGAAGTGATGATGTTAGAGTAAGTGACACACTCAAATGAAGTAATAAAAAAATCTAGACTTTTTTTTAAATTTATTTTAAGATCCAAATACCTCACTGGAAAAATATTCCAACTGTTTGAAGCTTGCCAAATGCATTAAATGGCCAGGAGAAACAAAACATCACTAAGGCTGTCATAAAAAAATTCTTGGTTTTGGAACACACCCAATGTTATTTACTCATCTGCTGCCCCTTCTTCTTCGGAGCCAGTGAAGATCAGTTTGGAAACTGAATGTCTGCTCCTGTATACATTGAGCTCTGAGTTCTTTGTCATATCCAGCCAATGAGTTTGCTCCTGAAAATGAACTCTGATGGTTTAATGCTCAACTGGATCTGCCTGGAAATGTGTAATAATGGATTTCTTGTTTTTCTGCCTCAACAATAAGAGTCAAGGGACAAATTCCTGAGTTGCAGTGTTTAAAGTAAAAAAGAGGGAGAGGGAGACAGCTGGATGAGTGGGAGTGGGGCTGGTGGAAACTCAGCTCAAACAATGGGTTGCTCTTAGGTAGATGAGGAGAATGGGCCTCACAAATGGATATTGATCTGTAGCAGCTGGGATGAGAGGAAGAGTTGGGAGAGAAGCATGCACCACTCAACAGCTGTTTGCTTTTCCATGGCTGACTTTGTTTGCCTGGTAAATTTGTGTTTGTAGTACAAGACTATATTGTTTTCCACTCGTATTTAATGTAGCTGTGTGTGAGTGTGTGGATGATAAAGTTTAGTAAGCTTCATAGCCCTTGGGCAGGGAAATGGTTGATGTGGCTGCTTGGAATTTGATTGCAGTAGGTAAATACTCTGGAGTTATGGAGTTATCCTTTGCAGGAGTTAGTGGACAGTTAAACTTCTGAGGAAGAAGCAAGGTTGAAACTCTGTCTTCCTTGGCTTTATTTATTTGGTTATAGTCACATTTTTTTCCATTTGATGCTACTGTTTCATCTCCTGTGATGCACTCAGTGCCCAGTACCTTCTCACTGTGCTTGGACTAGTTTTGTAGAAGGAATGTGAAGGGGATCTGGGAAATTCTTCCCATTGACTGCAAAAGCAATAGCTGAATTGTGGTGAAATAAATTATTAGGTGAGATGTGCAGCTTGACAAATGGGAGGGAAGCCTATTTCTTTGCAAATTGAGATTTGAGACCTTCTGGCAGAATTGGCTACCTTGCAGTTATGATTACTAAAATGTTCCGTGATTTGGTATTTCATGGATTTCTTGTCAGGAAACTTATTGTCTGCTTGGAACAGTTCAAAGAATAACCCTGATCTGAACTGGTTTTAATGGGAACCAAGTTAAAAGAGGCTAAAAGCTTTTGCTGTGTTATGTTCCCTGAAACACCCCAAAGTGCTTTAAATAATTTTTAAAGCAGCTTTTTTTGTCCTTTGTCTTAAGGGTTTTTTCAGAAATTGAGCAGCAGAGCCCTGGCCAGGTGAGGGGGAGCTGCAGTGAGGGGAGCAGGACAGGGAATGCAGGAAGGGAAGAGAAGGAAGAGTTGTTGTATGAAGGCCAACAGCAAGGAAGGAAAAGGCAACTAAACCAAACAGATGGGATAGGCAGTAAGGGAATAATATGCTGGGCAGTGAAACAGATAACAGAAGGCCTTGGGAAGCAGAACTGTAAGGGAAGGAATCTGAAAATATAGAAGGGTCATTCAGGGACAGATTATT